GCCCCTCTTTCCTCTGGCAGACCTCTACAGTGGTACAATGAGTAGGGTTACCAACTCCAGCTTAGGAAGGTCCTGGAGATTTGGGGGCACTGCCTGGGAAGGGGAGAAGTTGAGGAGGGGAGGGTCAGTCCATGGGGATTAGTGTCACTCAAGGACTTCTGTTTCTCCTAGACTTTATGATATACCATAGAGTTTGTCCTCCACAGCTTCCATTTTGTTCAAGGGAACTGATCTCTGTAGTCTGCAAATCAATTACAACGCTGGGAGAACTCCAGGCCTCAGTTTGGCAGTCCTGGCTGCCATCCCAAGAACACTTTCCTGGGAGTAAGACCCATTGGATCTTCCAAGCAGGCCTTGCTTAGACTTGTTCCCTGAGGCCCACTAGTACAGCTCTGGTTCAAGAACCCTGCCTGGTGCTTTATAGGTAATCTCTGAACATTTCATGCCCTTATTCCTGGCATGCAGCAGACTTCTGCAAGAGGGTTTCCTACCTGGAACTGCAGAAGTCCAGACCAATGTTCCCTCTAAGCTGTGGAGTCTTGTGAGCAAAAATTCTACTATGTGAGCTACTGGCATGAAAGTTGTGAGCAAGCGATTTGGCTCCTGCATAAATTAGTTTGCTCTGGAGCTGTCCTTCCTGAGCTAAGACAAAAATGTGTGAGCTGGAGGCTGAGGACAAGCAAGTCCTAGGTTACAAACTGAACTCTCCGGTGCAAGAACAAGATGCATTTCTTCCTTTAGGAGGTGCTATTGTCACAAGAAAAGAAAGAGGTTTCAGTTTTGGTTTTGCATGTGGGTGGGTATTCTGTTTGTAATAATTGTTTGGATACACTATATTTTTAATAGGCTAGTTGTGATCATTTCATGCCAAGTAAAAACGTCCATAGTCATATTTTATGTTCCTAAAGTAACAGAATGACTCTCAATCTGGAAAAGAAAAAAGAAGTGCTCACGTAGCGTTTTTTTCAATTTTTCCGAAAATTTCCGGGTTTTTCCGGAAAAAAAACACGGGTTTTTTCCCGAGCTTCAAAATTTCCAGAAATGTTACATCTCTATCACCGGCAATAGGGCTCCCAGGTCTGGGTTGGGGAAAAAAACAAACCTGGAGATGTTGGGGGCGGAGCCTGAGGAGGGCGGAGTCTAGGGAGGGACTTCAGTGGGGTATAATGCCGTAGAGTCCACCTTCCAAAGTGACCATTTTCTCCAGGGGAACTGACCTCTGTCACCTGGGGAGATCAGTTGTACTAGCGGGAGATCTCCAGCCGCCACCTGGAGGTTGGCAACCTTAACTTGCAAGCATGACGTGCCATCTCCTGCCGACCTTCCCTGTGCCTTTCTGGCATGCTGCCGGTCACCTTGGGCACTCTTGTGTTTCCCTGATTGCCCTG